TATTATATACCAGCACATAATTTAAATGTTTTTATATGTTTATCTGCCATTGCCTGAGGCAGATAACCCAATCTATGACATTAGACTTTGGAAACTTTTATTTGTTTTTTCCAAATGTATTCATAAAAAATACCTTCAATTCAAGAACAGATAATTTAGTAGGGGCGCAACTGAATTGTTCCTAGGAATAATTTTGATCAATTAAAATATATTTATATGTAACCACTGTCGTTGTCATCATACCACGGACATTACCTGAGATGTTAAAAGTCCACATGAAATCAAAATGTACAATATTTATTTTGTTAGCGCACATTGCTAGTCTTAAAGTCAACAAGTCATCTGTGCAAGTTAATCCTCTGAAAAAAATGTGTTTGTTTTGGTAATCTTTAAACAAAATCTGATCATTTGCTTCTGCTCTGGAATGGCAGTCCTTCTCTGATGATGTCAGTTTGACGGTTTGGGCAGAATATACTTTTAAACACACCCCTCTAACCGTTAGATTGCTATGAGTGCAAGACAGAGAGGAGGAGCACCAAAATAAAACCATGCCCTCTATTCAATATTCCGTTTCAGCTGGAAATACATCACTACACTGAAATAAAGTCGGCAGCAACTTCCGGTTCACGCGGACTTTAAGCTCTAAGATCAATCGTTATCGAGAAACGCAGCCCAGCTCACTGTCTGCCGCTGGCCGCTTGGTCGTCACTTAAAAAAAAACGAAAATGTATATTTAACGAACAAAACATTTTCCAAACGTTTTTCTAAATTAACTTAATAAAAAAAATAAATATAATCATTTTGCCATTACATACAAAACTGAACTATTTTAATAGCTGAAAGAGTAGTATAAGCCGTTTTGGGAGAAGGGGAAAAAAGTCGGGCTCGGACTGGTATAAGCTGTCGGACACAGGCCGGACTAGTACCTGAGCATCTTGGGCTAGGGCCTAAATTTGAGGCCCGTGCAGGGCTCTAATTCTGCCAAGACCAAACACATTAACATTGTCATATACATTACCATGCCAATCCCTATGAGAGCTGTCATGACGGAGCTATATTTAAAGTACATATTTAAAAGAAGTAATTTTTTTTTTCATATGTGAAATCAAGAGTCAAAATATGTACTAAAAATGTTTTGAGTATACTGTACACAATATTTTTCCTTAGAATTGTAATTAAGTACAATGACTCCTGACAGTTACATTTGTGGTCTCTTATGTAAATATATTGTCTTGGGTGGGTTACCGAGATTCAGCTAGACACGTTCCTGGATCAACATCCTTTTTGGTATTGGAAGGATATTTGGTATTCCTCACAACCAGATTTTAAAGACTGTGAAAGACTTTTCTTTGAGGCCTAAACAACATTCTTATCAACCAATTTACTTTGATTTAGGGGTTTATATAGTGGTTAGGGGTTGTTCCAGAACCAACAGAAAATCTTTCGCTAGGTTTTAGATGAGAATACATGACACTTCCAGGGACTATTTTCTTTCACTGTCATAACACACGAGAGGAGACACAAACCAGAGATGTTCTTCTCACACCGATCGCAGATTAACTAAACATTTAGCTGTTTCAACCCAACCCCGCTCTTAAGGTTTGACATGTTCCATGATTAACGCTTTATTTAGACCATTCGCCCATCACAGGAGAATCTGGTACAGCTGCAGGAATATGTATACATTACAACTTGTCCAAAAATCTAAAAATGTTGGTGTCATGCAGAGAAGGAGAGAACGAGTCTTCCTTCAGAAAAGCACAAACTGGCTCTCAAAGCTTTGATGATTCAATTTTAAAGATAAATGTTCAAATCATAAAATCTGGGTCATTGCACATGATTACATACTGGTCTTGACACAGGTTTTAGTATATTCTTTAGAAAACTCCTTTAGCCAGAAATAAATACTGTTTACAGAAAAAAGGCAGGCTCTTTAAAGGGCGCAGTGTTGCTTCAATCAGTCATCTGATTTTTTGTTCCTCATAGCGGTTTGTGGTAAAGCATCGCAGCACTGGCCTGTAATGCTACCTGAGCAATTATAATCAATTTTAAAGACTTTTTGTTTCTTTCGAAATCTTGTAACTGAATATAGTGCACACAGACCAAGCTTCACCCATATTTCACAGGAGCATCCGAGAGGAAACCTTCACGTCAGCATCCTGCTTGTTAGACTGGTTTGGCTCTGTCCAATCTTGTTATTTTGAGGAAACCATAAAAGCAAGTTGATCTGATTGACTTTAAAATTCTTCCTTTTAATAACAAGACTGCTACATTTGATCCTCCAAATTTTTTTTCAAAAGAGACGACATTATTTCATCAAGTCTAAATTCATTTTGCTCCCTGAAAGCAGTTCTTGCAAGTGAATATAAACTCCCAGTGTCCCATGGACATGGGTGATTAAATATACATGGAAGTGTAATGGACTATAAAATAGCATGTGGTACATACAAACAGCACAGATAACATTGTAATAGAAGATTACAGTAAAACTACCTGTCTGCAGTGCTGTCATCATTTGCCCTCAGTCTTCATATGAGTTGCTTTCTACTCTGGAACACAAACAGGAGATATTTACAACAACATATCTAAGCTGCTCTTGCCAGCTGTTGAGCAAAATGTTCAATGCAAAATAAATGAATAATGCGTTTTCTACTTTCATTGAGAACAGCTCAATCTTTTTTTTTTTTTTTTTGTGTTCCATAAAATAAATAATAGATTTAGAAAACTATGAGTGTGAGTAAATGATGATAGATGTTTCATTTATTCGAATAGTTTCCAGAAATAGTGTCTGTCGTTATAGACTTTCTAGTTTGCAACTCAATATAATTCTATTAAAAAACAAGCATTAAGACATAATGAATAGCATATGCGCAGTATTTGCTTTGATGCGCTTGGCATTATCCTGTAGGACGCAGGATGAGAACTGAATATCAGAGCCCAGGAGAACTGAATCCTCAGCTAAATAATTCTCTTTATTGCATTCCAGATCAGAGTTCAGTGCCTCATGTGTTTCCATCACGCTAATACCGTTTTAAAATGTTAATTTCTTCACAAGCCGAGGTCAGATCAAAGCCCGGGCTGGATTGAGGGCATGCTTGACTGAACACTCTCTGCTAAATGGTAAAAAATATCAATTCTTCTCAAACCTATAAACAGCTTTTGTATGACGTAAAGCCATGTTCTCTTGCATCAGCATTCATAACTCACAGCTCATTAGGAAGCATTATTGCCGACTTGTTGACTGTAGCTGGAGGAGAAAAGTTCAGTTTCCACCAAATATCCCTGTTTAGTTAAGGGTTTATGCAAGACACAATTTTGTGGTTTCTTCTCTTTTTTTTTTTTTTTTGGTTTAAAGACAAATTAAATCAAAACATGTTGAATTATAACTAAAAGCGACACAAATAACAGTACATTGCCTACACAATGATTAGACAAACGTGCAGTTTATAAAACTGTTTTGCACTAGATAATATAGCACTGGAATTAGTAATATGTCAAAATAAATATTAAAAAAAGAACAGTGCCCTGCTAAAAATACATTCTGTGTTAGTCAGACATCAACTATAACAGGCATTCATGAAGCTTCACATACAGTAGATATGTTTAAATTGCAAACCCTATAAAAAATATGAACAACACTTAAGGACCTAAAATGTTGAAGATTTTGCGTGTACTTAAAGATCAACATTGCCCTCTTCTGGAGACACTGAGTACTACAAAATATAAACGAAGCTCACAAATTCTTAAACAAAACATATTCCTATTTATAAGCTTTTTGTCAACACTACAAATCAAACAAAAGAACAATATGTAAACTAAGTAAATCACACAATAAATAACAAATTACTAGATTTTCATGACTATTTTCTTTCAGACCACTTTGACCAACTGTTTGGCTGTTTGCAACATCTGTTTGCATGCAATATATATATATTAGTGCTGTCAAACGATTATCGCATCCAAAATAAAAGTTTTTGTTTACATAGTATATATGTGTGTACGGTGTATATTTATTATGTTTATATAAATGCACACACATGCATGTATATATTTAAGAAAAATATGTTGCATTTATATATTAAATATGTTTATATATAATGTACATTTTATGAATATAAATATATACATGTAAATACGTGTAAATATTTTCAAAATATATGCTGTATGTGTGTTCAGAAACCCTCCACCTTCCCCAGCTCCACCTGTATAGATCTGTTACAGGGTGATTCATGTATGCTATGGGGTTATTTCATATATGTTATATGTGCAGTAGCAGTATTTCTTACATGCTCACAGCACAATACACACACATATTATGTAAACAAAAACTTTTATTTTGGATGCGATTAATCGCGATTAATCATTTGACAGCACTAATATATATATATATATATATATATATATATATATATACTTATATAAAAAGTGCTGAAAAATACTATTTCGCAATAAAATATAACTTTGTGCTTTAAAGGTGTATATTGGTCATTCTGCGCAGGTATTACGTCGTACGGATAGCTCTTAAAGGAATAGTTCACTATTTAAATTTAAGTCTCTTCTTCACACTAGTCTGTCATATGGCTTCTTTTATGGTGTTTTTTTTTCGTTTGTTTTCGATGGCTGTCATGTCCATTCACTTTCAAACATGCTTTTAAATAGCTCTTTTCACGTTAGACGATGGAAGACCATGGAGGAAAGAATGTCAGATGACTTTGGAATAAACAATGGCAGAATTATTAATCATTCATTTATTTATATATAATTATTTTGGGGTGAGCTATTCCTTTAAATGCAATTCATGGCATTAATTATTTATAGTAATCTGTTATGTATAGATACAAAATGAATAAATAAAAATAAAACAATACAGTATAACCAGTTGAACAGACACCTGAAGCTACTTCACAGTCTCTAAAATCATCGTTCTTCTACACTGCTGGCTTCATATTCACATACATTCCATTGGATTCCACAGCTGTATGAAGTGCAAGGGTAAACATCTTCTCTTTTCACTCATCTCCATAGTTACAACACCGTCTGCGTAGCAACTAGTTATTCGTCTCAAAAAACATGAAGTCCTGAAATAAATGAAAATAAATCAAATATGTCATTCATAAGCTATACTATCAAACCATATTCTCTGTACACTCATACTCACAATGAGAAAGCAGGCTCCGATCATCACTGCCTTCATTCTCACATCAAGATCCATGGGGAACTGGATCCCAAAGTTGTCTGAATCGGTGAATGCCTCCCGGAGAAGTCCTGTCCACTGTTTGCTGATCTTTCCAATGCTGACTTCATCCATTGTCAGAATCTTCAAGGGGACATGATAAGTAGTAAATAACATTTAAAAATATTGAAATTGTGGGAAACTAATAAGTCAATGCAAATCAATTTACTTGAAATATTGCATTCGCTGAACAACAGTTCCCCCTAGTGGGCATTTATAGAAAGAACCGAATAGCCAGTAGACATAAATAGAAAGACAGAAAAAAGTACAAATCGGAAGCTCTCCAGTTAAATGCTATTGTTTTAACAGAGCTGAATTATTAATCACTTATTTACATACTGACATATTCTCCATAAAGATGCTTCAGAAGTACAACACAAAGAATAGCAGTTGTCTATGGATGAATCGTATAACCAACTGTTATAATTATTATTATTAATTTATGTAATATTTGTAGTATGTTTCTGACAATTAAGCACATTCCCCCATAAGTTGTAACGACTGTGTCACAAAAAATGGTATTAAGAAAAATATAAATTAAAAAAGGTCATTACAACTTTATATCTCACAATTCTGTCTTTTTATTTTATTTTATTTTTTTGTAATTGCAAGAAAAAAAAAGTCAGAAATGTAAGATAAAAACCAAATCCTTTTTTTTCTTTTTTCTTTTTAAATTGCGAGAAAAAATACAGAATTGTGAGGTAAAAGGCTACAATTACGTTTTTTATTTTTAATTCTGTGGCGAAAAAAGAAAAAGAAAAACAGAATTGCAAGACAGAAATTAATAATTCAGAGAAAAAAGTCAGAATTGACATACAAACGGTAAAACTGTGCAATATTAACTTGGAATTGCAATAAAAAAGTGAGTGTAGGGTTTTTTGTTTGCTTATTTATTTATTTATTTACTGTGAGTTTATATCTTGCAATTCTGAGTTTAGGAGTTTATGAGGGGGGAGAACTCAGAATTGTGAGAGAAAAAAGTCTGAATTGTGAGATAAAAGGCGTCCATAAAAACTTGCATAAATTAAGGACACAACATATAGTATACTGATATACAAATACATTGCAAAGCATTGCTATTTTTTCACATTACAGTAAAAATAATTTGAGAAGACCATGTGCCTAATTGAAAATAATGCTAAAAATAGGCTATAAAAAGAGGTTTTGTGTTCTTTAAGTGAAGTATAATTAGTTTTGTTTTTGGTAAAGCATCAATCTCAGCTCACCAGCCTAAACAAAGCTTTCAAGGGAATTAAGGGCTGTGTGATACAGCAACAAAGCCATTCATTTTCAGTGAGAGTTAGCAATTGTTGTTGTCTGTGACTGTTTGATCACAAGGTGCTGGAGTTGTTATACCTCAAAGTCCACGTCTGGCAGGCAGCTCCAGCCACAGAATGGCCCCTGGAGCTTGAGAACCGGCTCTCTGTGCTCATTCTCTATGGTGAACTTGGGGAGGAAAGGGTGCCACTGCTGTAGAACATATCCCACTGTGTTTCCAGGAGGAGCCTGGATCTCCAGCTGAGACAGGAAAAATAAGGAATAAACAAAGTTGCTCCTTTAGTCATAAATACTCTATTTTCTCTGTGGTCTACATCAAAGTGACTGCCATCTGCAAACAAATGATTCTCAGAACTCAGAACTAGAACTTTTCAGAGCTTTTTTGCCATCCAGGCAGATCACCTCTTGCAGACAACATGGGACGAACCAGGACATGCATTTCAGAGGACGGCTGACTGTGATGATTTCCTGTCCAAAGTTATCCAGGACACGGATGGTGAAGGATCGCAGTGGGCCGCAGCACTGACGGGTGAGACAGTCGTTCTCCTCCACCGCGTAAAACACGTTCTGACCCATGGAGTTACGGATCTCATATTTATTGTTGCTCTCAAGGCCTGCCAAAGCTGCATAAACCATACAGGTCTTATTCATTACATAATACATATTTAGTATTTGGGCAAAATAGGTCTGCCTATTTTATAAAATAAAATGTTATACATACCTTCAATAAGCTCAACTTTCTGTTTGATAAGAAGTTGATCTACCTAAGAGAAAATGAATGAATGAATGAATGAATGAATGTATGTTACAGATACTTATTACAACCACCAAAGGGCAAGATGCATTTACTTTTAAATTGTGACATGTTTAGATATGAGTTTAGTATGTGCATAATAAAATATGATGATGATGATGATGATGATGATGATGATGCATGTGCTGTTATAGGAAAAAAATATAATTTTTTGCTAATAAATTTTTTATAGAACAAAATGTATAATTATTCAAAGATGCCATCCTGACTAGGGTAAGTTGGCCCCCGACCTAGGGCAAGATTCCCCCCTGGCTAAACTTACAGAATTCATAAATTACTTTTGATATAATTCTTATTAATATTTATTTGTATTTAAAGTGTCATTACAGTAGACAAAATGAAATCAAATATTCTATTTAAAATTGCATTTTGACAATTTAGTTGAAGAATTGAATAACTAATGACAGACAAAGCAGAATCCCAGTTAAAAAAAAATATTATATTATATTTAATTTATTCTATGACTTGTGATTATTTACATATTTAATTGCCCATAGTTTATTTGAAGATGTGTCATAATAGCATCACTATGAATGCAAACTGAATTGTTTCAATTAATTAGCCTATAGGTTTTAATGACAAGCAAAGATGTCTGAAATGTATATCTAAATCATGGAAGTACTGAATTATAACCCCATTTATTACCCCATTATGTATTAATCTTAATTTAACCTTACTTTAACTCC